TGGGCAAGAAGAATATAACAAAGGCACAAATCCCGAAGTAGTCCACAATGGGACTAAGATTCCCCGTGACACAAAATTTTCCGGTGAGTCTATTTTAGCTGCCGGTATTCAAAATACTTATAACTCGAATTGTTCAGCACGATGTAAGCTCCGGCTTAAAACTGCATCGCTGGAGCCACAGATGCCCTTCGTCGTGGGTTGTATCACATTGCTTCTAAAGAATGAGAAGATAAAGCCACTTGATGAAATCAGTAGCAGTCCACAATTCTTATCGAAATTGACCGCCACCCACCAAAAGAATGTCAATGCAGAGCCAAAATAAAGAAGGATAATGCGCAAAAATGCATAACTTACCGTCCGCGAAACGTTTTTCTCTTGGGATTACTAAAAATATCAGGAGGAGAGAGAGACGACCACACAAACAAATGCACTCATCGTCGTCAAGTGCGGTAGTAAAGCACATCCAGAAATTTCTCACGGAGGTGAGAAGTGTACCTAATAGTACACTCAGTAGTGACGACCACTCAGCTAATGAAAGGAGACCAGCTCACTGACAAGGTCTTAGCTATTGGATTTCCTCCACAGAAGAAAGTAAAAGAATTGCGGGAGGGCAAGACTAAATGATGAACCGAGATGTTGGGAGGAACAGTGAAGAAACAAGTAATGTAGGAGCTTAAATAACCTAAAAAGTAGAGTATATAAGATCACCGTTTCATGAAAAGAGACTGTGAAATATTAAGCAAATGATAAGAATACTAAAACTGTACCAAGGCAACTGCGATCATGCACAAAGAAAATAATGAGCTTAAGTGGGTCGGTAATAGAAGAGGGAACGACCGAATTTGGACGACTTCGACATACTCTAGTAAGGGCACTCGGTGAACCAGAAAAGTGGAGATAGTCTGAACAATTGATTGAAACCGCAAGTGATCGAGAAGACACAGTTGTGAGAGATTTGATAAACATCTCTGTTGACACGAAAGATATTAGTGTGCCGCTACTTAAAAAAAGGTCCAGAAATATTGATGACAACCATCATATCGTCACGGCGAGTGCAGCCACCCTCAGGTAAAAAACGGGCCAACTCGAGAACAATGCATAGTAATGCATGGGCCTCTGGAGGTGAGTGCAGACATGTCAGTGGAAAATATTAAGTTAGACCTAGACTTATGCTGAGGTGTTCTGAACTCAAAGCTTCAACCTGGAGAAGACGTTACAGTATTGAAAGCATTCAGGCTCGGAAAGCGTCCGACGGAACTCCCCACTCTCCTCCCGCTTTCTTGTATTCTTTCGAATCCTCACTATGCACCCACCACTGTGTCTAGGTTTGTGCCCATTTCCACAAACGCTTCGTACTAAACACAGAAGTTAAAAGAAAATGACCAGCTAATTGAGGTTATTCCTTGCAATACGTTGCTAATCGATCGCCCTGAATAAGTTAAAATCCTTATGAGTATGCTGGATTAGGCTTTAATCGCTTTGCATAAGTTTGCTCTTATTCAAATGTGTTTATTACTCACGGTAACTAGACTGGAGCATGTTGGTATTAGGCGTGGGGCCAGGGATCCTTATTTTGGCCCTTCTTTGGGTTTGTACTGTAGTTGGATGTGCATTTATTATCTTATCTAAAGGGAAGAAGTAAGATTTCCCGTAACAGTTATTCTTTTAGGTCAACCTGCTTTGTAATTCTTTTATTATCTTCTCTTATTACGGCGATCCTTCTGTCTTTGCCAAGAAGCGATAACAAACAGACACAGAATATTGTAAGAGGGTTATTGCTTCTTTAACCGTAGTCTTAAAGATATACGATTATCAATTTTTCACACGAATATTGCTGCTTGTGTTTTACGCGGCAACCCTGACAGCGATATCATTCGCCTACTTGATTTTGTTCGCAAACAAGCAGATTATACAACAAAATTAGGTGATTTGGAAGGAAATCGTAATTTATATAAATGTCATCTGCACGTCAGCACTTCAGACCGAAGAACTGTGCCTTTAGACTCCGCTAAATATTGATGATTTTGCCATTTTGTATGAATTAAGATTACTTTCAACAATAAAAAGGATAACCGGTTTTTCTCTTTAAACCCGAGGGGACTTCATAGCTCATAAAGCCACATTATCAACTACATCGAGAACATGTGCAGCCTCCGTCACAGGTTTAAAATGGGGTTTTTGCGTCCGAAATACAATTCTCGCTCCATCGGGTCATGTGATTTATTCGATGCCCCTACACGCCGATCGTTTTCTTTCTTGGGAGCCGGGCTTTTCAGATTTTCGATAGCCAGCCAAAGATAATTTCATTTGAGCACTACAGTTTTTAAAAAAATAAAGCACGTACTTTTAGAGGAAATGACTTTTTGGTAGCCGATAATGAGGTGTGATATACGCATGTGTGCTTAAATATCCACCAGCCGAACATAAACTTCAAAATTTTTTAAAACTATATTCTTGCTCAACAGATATACAAAGGACGCTGTGGAAATAAAGAAATTGATTGATTAGGAAGTCCTCGTACATATTCTCTAATCGTTTGCCATTTCGGTATTAGCGCTGGTTGACAAACCTCCAGAATAAAGCTTCAAATAACCCGTCTTCTTCAAAGCCCAGTTACACATTTGCTGACTACTTTGATAACCTTTTACAAGACCGTGCTCGTATACAGAAAATGCTCAATCGCGATTTTGTTTAAGACAAGAAACCAGAGTGCTTGGTCCTACTTTATCAGTTCGTCCGAAAGATCGGCACAACATGTATGGTAGTTGGCTCTCGACACTACTTGATTCTGTTCATGATGTGCATGAAAACTTTATTGCAAACGACTCGGCTAAGGCCGATTCTTGGTCTGAACATTTCGAGTATGTTTTCAGCTTTACTGTGAACGAGTCACATCTGTACTTTCCTCTACAGTCGAGTTTTATCGCTCTCTAACCATTGTAGT